TTGTTTTTCCATAGTTTGAATCCATTGCTCTGTGTCGTAGTCTTTGGAGCAGCAGAAAATACACTTGCTCTGTCCTTAAGTCTCATGTGAAATGCAAGCCCTGCCAGTAAACACTGCCACCACTTTGCTATAGAAAATTATGCTTCTACCTGAAATGTCGCTGAATATGCCTGTACTGCTGGGCATATTTTTCTAGATTGTCCTCATTGTAATTTCTACAACCATTTGCACATCTGGCCAGCTGGCCAACCCTTGTCTAGCGACCTCTGTTATATGTCAAGGAGCCATCCTATGATATCGTGAGGGTCTGCCCTATTACTCATATGCATGTGAAACCCTCTCTTGGTCTGATTTTGGCCCTGAAATACTACAAAATGGGGTGCAAGTAAAATGGGAACATTCACCCATCCTTTGAGATAACTCAGCGACCCTCCTGCATGTCTATTAATTATTGAGAAAGATGGGAGGGCTTTTTCTGACGCGGTTCTCAGGGTACAGCATACTCTGCTTCAGATATTGTTTTGCTATGAACTGACTCAATGCTCAGTTATAAGTCAGACTTGCAAGTGAAATGAACAGAGGGTTGTGTTAGGTTTTTTCGGGCTATATGGCCATGGTCTAGAGGCATTCTCTCCTGACGTTTCGCCTGCATCTATGGCAAGCAACCTCAGAGGTAGTGAGGTCTGTTGGAACTAGGAAAGTGGGTTTATATATCTATGACCAGGATGAGATAAAGGACTCTTGTCTGCTGGAGCTGGGTGTGAATGTTTCAACTGACCACCTTGATTAGCATATAATGGTCTGACAGAGCCTGGGGCAAACTTTTGTTGAGAGGTGATTAGATGTCCTTGTTTGTTTCCTCTCTGTTGTTGTGCTGTTGTAAGCATCCTCTGAGGATGCTTGCCATAGATGCAGGCGAAACGTCAGGAGAGAATGCCTCTAGACCATGGCCATACAGCCCGAAAAAACCTACAACAACCCAGTGATTCCGGCCATGAAAGCCTTCGACAATACATTGAAATAAACAGAACTCAAAAGTAAACAATGCTTTCCCCACCATCCTGACTTAAAAATGAAAGCATTGTATTCACAGTCTCCAAACTATATTTTGTGAAGCACTGGGAATCTACTAGACTTGTGCATGGATTTCGTGTTCAATTCCCTTCGGCCAATCCGGCTTGTTCGCATTGGCCGAATGGCCATAATGGTAAAGGCTCAGTCATCACACTTTTTCGTCCATTATGGGATCACGTGGCAGCTGATCATGGATCCTCCTCCCCTATTTGGCACCATGTGGTGCGCAAAGGCTGCCATGTACTGCACACACGGGATTTCCCTTTAAGCCCTGCCTGTTAAGCTCATCAGAATGGAAGAATACTGTAACCTGTCTTATGCAAGCTGTGTCTAAGGAAAGCATCCCAGGAGGGGTGCTTCCTTAACCCCATTCTTCAAACCCAGACTCCCTTGAAAGGAAGATAGGAGAGGGTCCCAGGAAGGATGCTTCCTTAATCCCATTCTTCAGACCCAGACTCCCTTAAATGAAGAAAGGAAAGGATCCCAGGAATAATAATAATAATAATAATAATAATAATAATAATAATAATAATTTATTTTTAACCCACCCTCTCTCCCCGAGGGGACTCAGGGTGGCTTTCAAAGTAAAATGGCAAACATTCAATGCCAACAACAACAACACTTTATTTATATTCTTCCCTATCTCCCCGAAGGGAACCCAGGGTGGATCATAGTACACATATGTGGCAAACATTCAATGCCGTTTGAACAGACAGGACAGGACAGACAGAAAGGAGATATGTTGTGTCGACGTCCAGCTTTCAGTGTCTTTGGAGGCTGGATGGCCATCTGTTGGTGGTGCTTTGAACACGATTTTCCTGCTTCTTGGCAGAAAGGGGTTGGACTGGATGGCCCATGAGGTCTCTTCCAACTCTATGATTCTGCGATTTTACATTCAGCTTTTTGCACCTTAAATAGAGGTGGTTCAGACTGAATATTCCCCTTCTTTATTTTCCTTCTGCATGCAGTTGGCAATGCTAGACTGATTTGTTATGTAGTTTCTTCCTGTGGGAATCTGGGACGAACACAGCAAGAGGCAGGATGCTTAATGGGGTTGTCCTTGCATCCGGTGATACTTCCCTTAGAAAAGCTGATTCATATGGCTTTTGCTCAGGTATTCTGAGCTTTTCCTTTAGAATTGGAAAGGGAAATTAACTCCTGATTCATATTTGTTAGTTATCTTGAGCAATATACATCAAAATGTAGTGTGGCTCTGTGTTGTCGCACCCTGGGCCTGAAATAATGTCTGTTTACAGGTCATGCCTTCTGTATGCCCAACGGGACGCCGAGGTGTCTCAGCTGAAGGGCCCCTTAGATTTCCCAACACGAACCTAACTGATGATATGCCATCCAAATATTCAGATATTTTGAAAATTACACAGTTTCTCTCTCTTCTCATTTATCCCCTTGGTCCTCAGTGTACTGTATTTCTGCAAACCGAGTTCAAAGCTTAAAAGTGGTTTCATAGGATCCTAGAGTTGGAAGAGACCTCGTGGGCCATCCAGTCCAACCCCATTCTGTCAAAAAGGGGGGAAATTGCATTCAAAGTACCCCTGACAGATGGCCATCCAGCCTCTGCCTAAAAACCTCCAAAGAAGGAGCACCGACACATTCCAGGGCAGAGAGTTCCACTGCTGAACAGCTTTCACAGTTAGGAAGTTCTTCCCCATGTTCAGGCGGAATCTTCTTGTAGTTTGAAGCCATTGTTCTGCGTCTTAGGGCCCTTCCACACAGCCCTACATCCCAGAATATCAAGGCAGAAAATCCCACATTATCTGATAACCCAGTTCAAAGCAGATATTCTGGGATTTTCTGCCTCGATATTCTGGGATGTAAGCCTGTGTGGGAGGGCCCTTAGTCTCCAGGGCAGCAAAATACAAGCTTGCTCCCTCACCTTCACATCTTATCCATGACCCTCATCATGTCTCCTCTCAGCCTTCTCTTCTGCAGGCTAAACATGTCCAGCTCTTTCAGCCGCTCCTCATAGGGCTTGTTCTCCAGACCCTTGACCTTTTTAGTCGCCCTCCTCTGGACACATTCCAGCTTAGAGTCAAGATCTCCCTTCAATTGCAGTGCCCAGAATTGGACACAGTATTCCAACTGTGGTCTCACTAAAACAGAATAGAGGGGTAGCATGACTTCCCTGGATCAAGACACTAGACTCCTATTTATGCAGACCAAAATCCCATTGGCTTTTTTTGCCGCCTCATGACATAGTTGGCTCAAAAAAAAAAAAAAAGCCATCACACGGAAAAGGGAAGATGCTCTCATAGACAGATGCATGTTATGAAATGGCTATTTGGTCCCAGCATTTCTGCACACAATTACAACACTTGGGTGCCTTTTGCCTTCCATGATCACAGCCTATGGGATCCTGGGTTTGATGTGGCAATAGAGCTCTGTGGCAGGTCCTCCAGTGCAACTTCCATAGGATTGAACTGGATGACAGACAAAGGCTTAAAGAGAACCCCCCCCCCCCCCCCCCAGTTACATGTAGGATGACAGCAGAGGCGTCCATAAATACAACAATCTGCAGATAACTAAATCCATGGCTGCTTAACGGGCACATGTAGAAGGATGCCTATAAATCAATTAGGCTTCTCCCCAGGCTTTATTAAAAGCGTATTTTTTTTTCTGATGCAAGTGTTGGCACAATATATTACACTATGGAACAAAATTTGAAAAATGTCCCATTCCTGGTTTGAAAGTGTTGTTTCCTCTTTAATCACGTGGTCCTTACTTTGCAAGTAGTTATTATACTCCAGAAATTTCGTTTTTGTGGCTGCCACAAACTCAGTTGAATTACAGTAAATTCTTGCTTATCCGACCTTCGCTTATCCGACATTCCGTCTTACCCGACACTCTTATCCGACGCCCCCGTTTTCCTCTAGTATTTCCCCTTTAATTAAAGGAGTGATCCCAACTCTCTCTCCATTCCCAATAAGTGAAAAAGGCAAGACGAGGAGGAGGAGGAGGAGGAGAGGAGGAGGAGGGTGGTGGTGGTGGGGAGGAGGAGGTGGTGGAGGAGGAGGAGGAGGAGGAGGTGGTGGTGGTGGTGGTGGTGGAGGAGGAGGAGGTGGTGGAGGAGGAGGAGGAGGAGGTGGTGGTGGTGGTGGAGGAGGAGGAGGAAGTGGTGGAGGAGGTGGTGGAGGAGGAGGAGGTGGAGGTGGAGGAGGAGGAGGAAAAGAGGCAGGACCAAAAGCAGAAGTGTCCTCCATCCTTCCCCCTGTGATTTCCATGCTCCTCTTCCACATCAGGGCACTTCCTGCTAAGGTGGTCTAGCCCTGAGGCATTGCTTTGCCTTAAACCTTTGACTCCCTTAAACCTTTGACTATAGCAAAATGTGCTGCAGGATTTTCTGCAAAAATGGAACTATAGAGGAGAGTCTGCTGAACAAGCCAGTGCCTGCCATATACCAGTACTGCCATCTGTTGAGGAGTTACGAAGGTGGAGGCATTACTTTTCATTCAACCCTCATACAAAAACCCAATGAATATAGTTAAGGAATATTATAAGATATTTTTTGCATCTTAATACAGTTCGCCCCCCCCCCCCACCATGTTTTTATGATAGAACCTGTTAGGAAACGACATTTATAACTCAGGAACAAAAATTGTGTTATCACCCATTCCTAATAGAAAGATGCCATAATGCTTTGCATTAAGGAGTTTCTGAATTCCACCCCTAACATTCCTGGAAAAGAAGTTTCATAGCGTTTGACGGGGGAAAAGCTTGCCTTCTCCCTTGAGTCTAGATCATGCTGGAATTGATGAACAAATCCCCTGACCTGGCATGAGAGCTGCTTCCTATGCAGAAAACATTCTTTACAACCCGCTTGAGAAAGGGGAAATAGTCTGCTGTTGTTTGTGTTATCTTTTCATTTCCTGACATGGATCCATCGTAATGCTGCCCTTTTTTTTTCTTAGGGGGCAGAGACTAGGAAGCGTTCCCCGACTCTCAGCAGCCAGTTCAAGCGGTCTTTGGAGCTGCTGATGAGAACCCTCAGCGTCTGCCAGCCGTTCTTCGTCCGTTGCATCAAACCCAACGAGTACAAGAAGCCCATGGTAAGCTCCATATTGATTCCCCTTCTTCTTCTGAGTCAAGTTACTTGCATAGAAGCGATCCCTAGATCTCACATTGCAACCTTGGAACTGTATTGTCGAAGGCTTTTGTGGCCGGAATCATTGGGTTGTTGTAGGTTTTTTGGACTATATGGCCATGTTCTAGAAGCATTTTCTCCTGACGTTTCGCCTGCATCTATGGCAGGCATCCTCAGAGGTTGTGAGGTCTGTGGAAACTAGGAAAATTGGGTTTATATATGTGTGGAAAGTCCAGGATGGGAGAAAGAACTCTTGTCTGTTGGAGCTAGGTGTGAATGTTTCAATTGGCCACCTTGATTAGCATTTGATGGAGGCGCAGTGGGTTAAACCCGGTGGCACTGTGGGTTAAACCCCTGTGCCGGCAGGACTGAAGACTGACAGGTCGCAGGTTCGAATCCGGGGAGAGGCGGGTGAGCTCCCTCTATCAACTCCAGCTCCCCATGCGGGGACATGAGAGAAGCCTCCCACAAGGATAATAAAAACATCAAATCATCTGGGCGTCCCCTGGGCAACATCCTTGCAGACGGCCAATTCTCTCACACCAGAAGTGACTTGCAGTTTCTCAACCAAAAAAAAATTAGCATTTGATGACCATGTTCTAGAAGCATTCTCCCCTGATGTTTCACCTGCATCTGTGCCAAGCATCCTCAGAGGTTGTGAGGTTTGTTGGAAACTAGGAAAATTGGGTTTATATATCTGGGTGGGAGAAAGAACTCTTGTCTGTTGGAACTAGGTGTGAATGTTTCCATTGGCTACCTTGATTAGGATTTGGTGGCCTGACAGTTTTTAGGTGTGGCTTGTTTCTGCCTGGGGGAATCCTTTGTTGAGAGGTGATTAGGTGTTCCTGATTGCTTCTTGTCTGGAGTTCCCTGTGTTTGAGTTTTGTTTTTTATTTACTGTTTTAATTTTAGAGTTTTTTTAATACTGGTAGCCAGATTTTGTTTATTTTCATGTTTTCTTCCTTTCTGTTGAAATTGTCCACATGTTTGTGGATTTCAATGGCTTCTCTGTGTAGTCTGACATGGTGGTTGTTATTTATTTATTTACTTCATTTATATACTGCTTTTCTCAGCCCTTAGGCAACTCAAAGCGGTTAACAACAGCAAACATTCAGTGCTAAACATCATTAAAAAAATTAAGGGACAGATTAAAACAGTAGCATAATAAACAATTAAGCATCAATATAGCAAATCATTAGCGTCTCATCAATAGAATCAAAATCCAATCTCATCATCCATTATTCCGTGTTCCTATATTTGTTACACTGCCTAATCAAATGCCGGCTCGAACAACCAGGTCTTCACTTTCCTCCGAAATGCCAGTAGAGAGGGGGTCGATCTAATATCTGTAGGTAGGGCGTTCCACAGCCGAGGGGCCAACACTGAGAAGGCCCTGTCTCTCATCCGCGCCAGAGTGGTCCAGCATTTCCGTGTTCTCAAATAATATGCTATGTCCAGGTTGGTTCATCAGCTGCATCAACCTTGGAATACTGTCTGTCCTTTTCCTTGCTAGTTACTCCTTACTTTAATTACCATAAGCCAGCATGGAAGCAGCAGTGATTTGAGTTTTGAACTGGTGAGATCAGAATTTCAATCCCCATTGAGTTGTGAAAACTCCACTTAATGGCCTTGAGCAAGTTATACTCTCTCAAATTAAGGCAGTGTTTCTCAACCTGGGGGTCTGGATCCCTGGGGGGGGGTCACGAGGGGGTGACAGAGGGGTTGCCAAAGACCATCAGAAAACACAGTATTTTCTGTTGGTCATGGAGGTTCTGTGTGGGTAGTTTGGTCAAATTCTATCGTTGCTGGGGTTCAGAATGTTCTTTGATTGTGGGTGAACTATAAATCCCAGCAACTACAACTCCCAAATGTCAAGGTCTATTTCCCCCAAACTCCACTAGTATTCACATTTGGGCATATGGAGTATTTGTGCCAAGTTTGGTCCAGATCTATTCTTGTTTGAGTCCATAGTGATTTCTGGATGTAGGTGAACTACAACTTCAGAACTCAAGGTCAATGCCCACCAAACTCTTCTAGTGTTTTCTGTTGGTCATGGGACTCCTATGTGCTAAGTTTGGTTCATAGAATCATAGAATCAAAGAGTTGGAAGAGACCTCATGGGCCATCCAGTCCAACCCCCTGCCAAGAAGCAGGAATATTGCATTCAAATCACCCCTGACAGATGGCCATCCAGCCTCTGTTTAAAAGCTTCCAAAGAAGTAGCCTCCACCACACTCTGGGGCAGAGAGTTCCACTGCTGAACGGCTCTCACAGTCAGGAAGTTCTTCCTTGTGTTCAGATGGAATCTCCTCTCTTGTAGTTTGAAGCCATTGTTCCCTTGCGTCCTAGTTTCCAAGGAAGCAGAAAACAAGTTTGCTCCCTCCTCCCTGTGGCTTCCTCTCACATATTTATACATGGCTATCATATCTCCTCTCAGCTTTCTCTTCTTCAGGCTAAACATGCCCAGCTCCTTAAGCCGCTCCTCATAGGGCTTGTTCTCCAGACCCTTGATCATTTTAGTCGCCTTCCTCTGGACACATTCCATCACTGGTGGAGTTCAGAATGCTCGTTGATTGTAGGTGAACTATATATCCTAGCAACTACAACTCCCAAATGACAAAATCATGATGGTCACTCCTTGGGTTAGTAGGCGTCTTATGCCCAAATTTGGCAGCAATTCTTCCAGTGGATTTTGAGTTATGATGTAGGTTAACTATAAATCCCATCAAGTATAGCTCCCAAATGACAAAATCAATCCCCCGCAACATCACCAGTATTCAAATTTGGGTGTATCGGGTATTTGTGCCAAGTTTGGTCCAGTGAATGAAAATACATCCTGCATATCAGATATTTACATTACGATTCATAACAGTAGCAACAGTTATGAAGTAGCAACGAAAATAATGTTATGGTTGGGGGTCACCACAACATGAGGAACTGTATTAAGGGGTCACAGCATTAGGAAGGTTGAGAACCACTGGCTTAAGGAAAGGCAGTGCAACCCTCCTCCATACACTTTAACTGACATGCTATGTGAGGGACAGTTCCAATTAATCTTCTGTCCTCCCACTTTCTCAGCTGCTTGAAAAATGTACCAATCTCTCTCCTCCTCTCACTTTCTCCCTATTTTCCTCAGCTTACTTTAATTACATTTCAATTAAAGGTTGGGAAGAATTATGTAAAGAAAGACTTGCAAGGGCACCTATGAAGGATACAAAATAAACGTTCTGCTTGTGTACAAAATTCTGTATACAAACACATCACCAAGGTTGCTGATCTTCAGTTCAGGAAATGAAGGGAATTTTTGTTCAGCAAACTGAAGAACCGTATGTTCTCCATCCCCAAATTAAACCTTTAAAGTACAGCTCAAACAAAGACAGAAAGCAGGTGGTAAAATAGTAAATAGTGTCAGGACCCTCTGCCTCAGATCTGCCCTGGTATGAAGTGTGTGGCTTGGAACTCCTATGTAACTTGACAGTGTATTGTCGAAGGCTTTCATGGCCAGAGTCACTGGGTTGTTGTAGGTTTTTCGGGCTGTATGGCCATGTTCCTGAAGCATTCTCTCCTGATGTTTCGCCTGCATCTATGGCAAGCATCCTCTGAGGATGCTTGCCACAGATGCAGGCGAAACATCAGGAGAGAATGCTTCTAGAACATGGCCATACAGCCCGAAAAATCTACAACAAACTAACTTGACAATGTTTTATATCTCTTCTGCTTAAGATGTATTACTATAACCTGTTTTGGCAGGTTATGGTTGTGTATTTATTCATATTAAACTAGTTAATTGAAGTTAGAATAGGAATATTATAGTTAGTTGGAAATGGCACCAATTAGTGCCTAAAACCTGGAAGATAAGAGGGGAAGTCTAGAAGGATAAAGAGCTGGTAGCCAAGCTCGTTTCTCATGTGAGTTCAGGCAAGTGATCCAATGTTTAGATGTGTTAGGCCTGGAGGGTCACCCCCAGAAGGTGTTATTGGGGGATACTCTGGCGTAATATAAAATAAACCACATGTACTTAATGTTTGATCAACCCACACACTGCCTTGCTAGAGAAAGAAAATATGTCACGCAGGTGTAAAAGTAAAAACAAGTATTTCATGGCCGGAATCACTGGGTTGTTGTAGGTTTTTTCAGGCTATATGGCCATGTTCTAGAGGCATTCTCTCCTGACGTTTCGCCTGCATCTATGGCAAGCATCCTCAGAGGTAGTGAGGTCTGTTGGAACTAGGAAAAAGGGTTTATATATCTGTGGAATGACCAGGGTGGGACAAAGGACTCTTGTCTGTGGAACTAGGTGTGAATGTTTCAACTGACCACCTTGATTAGCATATAATGGCCTGACAGTGCCTGGGGCAAACCTTTGTTGAGAGGTGATTAGATGTCCTTGTTTGGAGGTTTTTAAACAGAGGCTGGATGGACATCTGTCAGGGATGCTTTGAAGGTGATTTTCCTGCTTCTTGGCAGAGTGGGGTTGGATTGGATGATCCACCAGGTCTTTTCCAATTCTAGGATTCTATGAAATGTATGTATATGTTTATTTGATTTTATTTCTCAGTTGTGTTATTTATTGTTGTCTTATGTTTTATTGTGGCATGGAATAATTGCCGAATCTGAAAGCCACTCTGTCTCCCCCTTGGGATGGGATAGAGCAGGGTAAAAATACAGTAAACAAACAAATAAATAAATACTGAAAGGCAGTGAAAAGTGGACTAATGAAACTGTAATATGCAAAATGTTTGTGTGCCGTGTGTATATAGAGTGTGTAACTATTGCAACCTTCAGTCGTGACAGCGACAGTGTGTAGAACCTGTGCTGTATCTATATAAATAAAAATGCAATGTTTGTTTGTGGGATTAACATAACTCGAAAACCACTGGACAAATTGACACCAAATTTGGACACAAGACATATAATTATGCAACAAGTGGCCATCACTAAAAATTTTGATTTTTTTTCATTTGGGAGATGTAGTTGCTGGGATGTATAGTTCACCTACAACTAAAGAGAATGCTGAACGATGGAATTGAACCAAACTTGGCACACAGGACTCCCATGACCAACGGAAAACACTGGAAGGGTTTGGTGGGCATTGACCTTGAGTTTGGAAGTTGTGGTTCACCTACATCTAGAGAGCACTGTGGACTCTAACAATGATGGATCTGGACCAAACTTGGCACGAATACTCCATATGCCCAAATTTGAACACAGATGGAATTTGGGGAAAATAGACCTTGAAATTTGGGAGCTGTAGTTGCTGGGATTTATAGTTCACCTACAATCAAACCCCAACAATAACAGAATTGGGCCAAACTTCCCACAGAACTCCCATGACCAACAGAAAATACTATGTCTACTGGTGGTCTTTTGTGACCCTTCTGACATCCCCTTCTGACCCCCTCCAAGGAGTCCAGCCCCCATGTTGAAGAATGCCATCCAGTCCAACTTTCTTCACCAGGGCAAGAGAACATAATCAAAGTCCTCCCAACAGAGCCATCCAGCCATAGATAGATAGATAGATATAGATAGATAGATAGATAGATAGATAGATAGATAGATAGATAGATAGATATGATTCACACACATATGTGTGTATATGACACACACAGAGATATAGTCATAGATTTGAAAGGGGCCCCTAAAGAATGACAGTGATATGTTGCATGTTCCAGAGTAGGCAAACCAAACAATCTCCACATCAACACTGACAAAGAAACAACAAGAAATACTATTTACCCACAAGCATAAAGAAATTACATATATTAGAAACCAACACGTTCTCATTACTTTATTTTCCATACTGGGCCACAGCAACACGTGGCAGGGGACGGCTAGTTTTCATTAAATTTCTTCCATTCTTCAAAGGTGGACTTATTTAGTTCTGCAGCCGACACATAGGCTGTATATGTGGAGCGTGAAAGAAAAACATTCCTTCTGGGAGATGGTGTTTGGCCTGAGGTCAGGAAGGGCCAAAGGCTGATAGAGGCAGGAAGCAGGATTTCAGGAAACCAAAGAAAAGTAGAAAGATCTTTGCCTGTTGTTATGTGACATTTACTCTTCTTCTTTTTTAAAAAGTGTAGTATATGACTATTGCGTTTTGCTAGATCCAAACGGAAAAAGTTATTTTGGTTTCTATCCAAATGACAGTATTTTTATTACCGAGTGCATCTTCCTGGTACACGTAATTTTTAGAGCAGCTGTGGAAGGATGACTTGTATTGAAAAGCGACAAGTTGTTCTGGGAATAAGTGCATTCAATCAGTTCGAAAGCATTGTCAAAGGATTTCATGGCCGGAATCACTGGGTTGTTGTAGGTTTTTCGGGCTGTATGGCCATGTTCCAGAAGCATTCTCTCCTGACGTTTTGCTTGCATCTATGGCAGGCATCCTCAGAGGTTGTGAGGTCTGTTGGAAACTAGGAAAATTGGGTTTATATATCTGTGGAAAATCCAGGTTGGGAGAAAGAATTCTTGTCTGTTGGAGCTAGGTGTGAATGCTTAAATTGTCCACCTTGATTAGCATTTGATGACCTGACAGTTTTTAGGTGTGGCTTGTTACTGGCTGGGGGTATCTTTTGTTGAGAGGTGATTAGTTGTTCCTGATTGTTTCTTGTCTGGAGTTTCCCTGTGTTTGAGTTTTGTTTTTTTTAATTTACTTTTATAATTTTAGAGTTTTTTTAGTACTGGTAGCCAGATTTTGTTCATTTTCATGGGTTTTTTTTTTACCAGTACTAAAAAAACCTGTTGCACTCCAGGATAGGAAAACCCCTCTGACTGTAAACACCACACATTGAACAGGAAAATAATCATTTTATTGGAGATAATTAAAAAGCAGCAAAGTAAAAAGCACTTTAAAGAAATAGGTAAACCCAATTAGGTAAGAAGATAAGTCCAGGGTAAAGTTCAGCAAAGTCTATGAAAACAAAGTCCACACTTCTCTATTAAAATCCAGAAAACCAGGAAACATTAATCCAAAGCAGTCTTAAAACCCAAGATTCGAAACAATGAAACAAGAAATACTTAAGCATGAATCTTCCAAGCAAAGCTTCCATGAAGCAAGGACAAGAACTTAACTTGATTCCAAACGATGCTTCATCTGGCTACATTTCCCATACTTGGGACTTTTATCCCCTCATTAATCTATCCCAAGCACTCGGAAATTGGTTTCGCTTTAGTTAAGATTCCCTTATTTTTTTTTTTGTCAGAGCCTGGCAAAACGCCGAAGCCACTGTCCAACTTGTCTGTTTAGACTAATCACCTGCCATCTATCTATTTGCTCATTAACATTTGCAGCTGGGCCAGGTGCCCAGTTGTTTTCAAGCCCCAAATCCTGGGAACTCTCTGGTCGCAATTCAGAGAGTACACCATCATCCCCACACCCTTCAGAGACATTCTCATGGGAAACTACACTTTGAACAAGGATCTCCTGGTCATTCTCTGCATCAATATCATTGATCAAACCATTGCCATCTTGAAACTCATTGACATCACTCCCCACATTCAAAGCACCCTGATCCTGAAACACAATCACAGGCTGAGCTCCAACAAAAACTCTAAAATTATAACAGTAAATAAAAAACAAAATTCAAACACGGGGGAACTCTGGACAAGAAGCAATCAGGAACTCCTAATCACCTCTCAACCAAGGAATTTCCCAGGCAGTCCATCAAATGCTAATCAAGATGGCCAATTGAAACATTCATACCTATCTCCAACATACAAGAGTTCTTTCTCCCACCCTGGACATCATTCCCCAGATATATAAACCCAATTTTCCTAGTTGCCAACAACTTCACAACCTCTGAGGATGCTTGGCACAGATGCAGGCGAAACGTCAGGAGAGAATGCTTCTGGAATGGCCATACAGCCCAAAAGACCTACAAGAACCCAGTTCTAAAGCACCTGTTAGATCAGACCTGGGCAAACTTGGGCCCTCCAGGTGTTTTGGACTTCAACACCCACAATTCCATTGTGGGAGTTGAAGTCCAAAACACCAGGAGGGCCAAAGTTTACCCAGGCCTGATCTAAACCTCAAAGTCCGTTGAGTATGTTATATTAGAATGGTTCTTCAATCTGATGCGTATTTCTAGTGAGACCCAATTCTGTTTTTATTTTCCTTGCAACTTTGGAAAAAGTTTGCAGTTCATTTCAGCAAAGTGATTGCTGCAAACACTTTTTTTCTTTTTACAGCTGTTTGACCGGGAGCTCTGTGTCCGCCAGCTCAGGTACTCCGGGATGATGGAGACCATCCGGATCCGCAGGGCTGGCTACCCCATCCGTTATACCTTTGTGGAGTTTGTGGACAGGTACCGGGTGCTCATGCCAGGGGTGAAACCAGCATACAAACAGGTATATCATGTGAGAATTGGATTTTGGGGGGAAATGGCTTGTTGTGTAAACATGGATTAGTGATAACATAGGTCCCTTCTACACTGCCATATAAAATCAAGGTTATATGCTTTGAACTGGATTAAATGGCAGTGTAGACTCAAGGCTGAGGTAAAAATTGCTGGAAGAAACATTAACAACCTTAGATATGCCGATGATACCACTTTGATGGCCAAAAGCGAGGAGGAGCTGAGGAGCCTTCTAATCAAGGTGAAAGAAGAAAGCGCAAAAGCCGGGTTGCAGCTAAACATCAAAAAAACCAAGATGATGGCAACAATTTTTGTAAAATGTAAAATGTTATATTTTTCTGAGTTAGTAGGTTCAGTATAAATTGTGTGCATTTTAACAATTTTTTTGCTAGGAATGAACTAATATATGACCACATACAGGAGTGACCTGGACTGGAAAGTAGTCGTGCTGGAAAATGTTTGCTTTGCTTTGCTCTACCTAATTTGTACCTCCAGTCTAATATCCAATAGCACGTAAATTAGAACAGATTGGTCCTATCATACGTTCCACACCTTTCTGACTCTTGTAATGCAGTTTGTGGAGTTTAAATGTATTTATTAACTGGGTTTATGAGTAGCCATAAAATCCCACCATGCCATTTCTTTTAGGGGGACCTGCGGGGAACATGTCAGCGCATTGCCGAAGCTGTGTTGGGGAAAGACGATGACTGGCAGATTGGCAAAACAAAGATATTCCTGAAGGTAAGATGGCAATCAGGCGAGCCCATCTTGGGCCACTATCTTCTTTTGCTTTGGTTGTACCGACTCATTCACATGTTGCACAATTTCACCTAACCACTGTCAGTACTGTGATTTTAATGTAATGAAATAATGCTTATAGTTTAAACTGTGTGTTTGGTGTAGAACTGTAATGTTGTGCAAGGGTTAAATGCCTAGAGTGCAACTTTGGACAGTTCCAGTTGTGCCACACATTCCAGAGATGCGGTAACAGCATATATACTTTTCCAGCAATGTATGGCTAAGCGGAAAGATGTGTTTTTGGCTACTCCTGTAAATAGTTTTGTAATTTTTTAGAAATAGCAATAAATCTTTAAGTGCCGCTTTGGAACTGACTGAAGGTAGCACGCTTCATTGATTTATTTTGAACCTCTTAGCAGACGATCTGAGGTCAATAAACCGACAACCACATCCAACAAAATATGTTACTTCTAGGTCCTCCAGATGATTCTATGGTAAGCTTCCAGTGGAAGTTACTATAGCATCCTTCCAATGCAATTCAATGGTGTGGTGAAGTGTAAATTTTAACCTACAGTCATGTATAATTATAGGTAGGTTTTTAAAGGGGTAAGTATTTAAAATAGCATAACTGGGGGGATGGTAGCCAGCTCAGCTCACTCTGAGATGGGTTGCCATGGTAAAAGGGGAGGAGCCAACTGCCACTTGGCAGGAGCAGGCATTTTAAATAGGCAGTCTGTGGTTAGTGAACCGCATGGAAAGCTGGTTCTACTGTGTTGAGACTCAGGAAGGTTTAGGCTTTTAGCCTGTGTGGTTTAGATAGGTCAAGTTGATTCATTTAGATTAGTAGTTAGAGTTTGAGCAAAAGGAGAAGGGAACCCCAGTAATAATCAGAGGGAAAAAATAGGCCAGTACTTGGAGTGATCTGTTAAGGAAAGAAACACATTTTGAAGGAAATAAGTTTAAAACCTGTCTAGTGGAAAAAACAGTCCTCTTAAGAGTTATTTTATGAAAGGTTATAAATGTAACCACTAAAGGAATGTACCTCTAGGAGTTAAGAAACATTGAAACCATTAAGCTTCTATACTTCAATAAACTTATTACAGTTTCTCTTAAATCCAAGCCTCTGTTTCATATACTTTTGAGTCAAACCGTGCTACACATCAAAGGAAGATAAACAAAATATTACAGGCTAGTGGCTGTGTTATCTATTTTTTAGATTCATTACAAATTGTAGGAGACCCTGACAAATCAGCAACGTCCCTACAACTGGTGGCGTCATCACAAATGGTATGTTAGGATTGCAAGTCATGCTGTTTTATGGCATTTAGGTGTATCAGTGGTTTCAGGTACCCACAGATCAACCAGGAAGCTACGTGATTAAAGCAGAAGATGTGATAGAACATGATAACCTGATTCTTTTTCTTCCACTCTATGTACTTCCACTCTATGTACTTCCACTCTATATACTATATACTGCAGAGTCCCCAATGGCACGGGGGCTTAAGCTGCTGTGCTGCTAAATTGGCTGACTGAAAGGTCAGCGGTTTGAATCCAGAGAGTGGGGTGAGCTCCTGCTGTTAGGCCCAGCTTCTGCCAGCCTAGTAGCTCAAAAATGTGAATAGATCAATAGATACCGCTTTGGCGGGAAAATAACAGCGCTCCATGCAGTCATGCCGACCACATGACCATGGAGATGTCTACAGACAAAGACAGCTCTTCGGCTAAGAAATGGAGATGAGCACCAACCCCCAGAGTTGAACGTGACCAGCTTCAATATCAAGGGGAAACCTTCACTTTTACTATATACTTCTTTCTTCCAGCTTTCTTAGAAGTGATTTACGCCCTAATCTTGTTATGCTTCGGTGACATGAGGACCTCTAGATATTGCAAAATTGCAATGCCCAGAAGCCCTACCTAAAATGACCAATGGGGAGAAATGCTGGGAATTGCATCCAGACTTCCTGGAGATGGAGATTGACACTTCCCTCATGTTTGCTTGGTCTGAAGACCAAGCAAAGAAGCAAATTCCTTGAGTGCAACACTGACCTAATGTAGCCTGCACAATGGGTTTTTGCAGGTTTTTTCAGGCTATATGGCCATGTTCTAGAGGCATTCTCTCCTGACGTTTCGCCTGCATCTATGGCAAGCATTCTTAGATGTTGTGTGGTCCTCTGAGGATGCTTGCCATAGATGCAGGCAAAACGTCAGGAGAGAATGGCTCTAGAACATGGTCATATAGCCCGAAAAAACCTGTAACAACCCAGTGATTCTGGCTATGAAAGCCTTCGACAATACATAGCCTGCACACTTATTTTTAAACACATCCCTCTTTTGCCTCTTAGTGATCTCCCCCATGTCAGAAAGCATTATCAGGATCAGGCAGATGTCTGTAGAGGAAATTTGGGAAAGGCACTGGTCAAAAGGGCTTCTCAGGAGCTGGCTTGGTTTAAAAACATACGAGGCAGTGTAGGAGCCTTGACAACAGCAGTCCTAGAAAGAAGGCAAAGATTAGAGGGCAGGGGAAGAAAATCCCCTCATTTCCCAAACTCTGTTTTGTTCACAGACAGGAAGTGTGGAACGATAAAGGTGTACACACCCTTTCCCCTTCTCTCCATATCCTTGACATGACTAAATCTATAAGGTGTTAACTGATAAAGGGCTATTCTGGCATTTCCAAATATCGCTAAATTTATTTTGAGAATGCACGAGCCGCCTTATGTTGAGTCCTCAAAAGCTGGATTTACACTGCAATATAATGCCATTTCAGAATGCGGATTAATTGCATGCATTGAGCTGGATTATATGCCAGTGTAGACTCCAGCCTAAGAGTATTTTGGTACTTATATTAATGGGATAAACCAAGTTAGCATCAAGAGCATATTGTCGTTAAACTAGGGTAACTATCCTAAACTATCATAGTAAAGATGAGGAAGGAAAAACTTGGTTTATGGCATGGTTCAGCCACTAACCAAAATGGAGACTGTGGTTAAGAAATGAGAAGAAGGCTAGAACTTGGAAGGATTGCTAGGAAGAAACTAGACGTGATCCTGATGTTGGAAATAGCAACCTTCTCAAGCCCCCACTAGTTATTTGTTATGTATATAATTGCTTGCTGTATTGTATCTGTGTATTGGTTTGCAATTTTATTTATTTATTTACTATATTTGTATATCAGTGTTCTCAGCCGTCAGGCGACTCAGGGTGGTTTACAGACGCGACAGTTTGATGCCTAAGAACATCATAAAACATTTAAAACATTAATGCGTAGTATAAAACCAAGCAAAAGTAATAAAAACATAAGACATTTGCGTCTCCTAATTAAAAATATTATCCATCTCGTCATCCAGTAGTTCCAAGTTCCTATGTCTTTTACATTACAATGCATGCACAAAACCACATATACACAAATATATACACACACATATACATATATATACACTCATAAAACATATATACACAGTCTGGGCCATAGCAATGCATGGCACTGGATGGCTGGTGTAATAATAATAATAGAGTAAAATAATAATAATAATAATAATAATAATAATAATAACAACAACAACAACAGAATAATCTAATAAATATTTGAGTATAATTTATTTATTTATTTATTTACTGCATTTGTTGACCGCCGCTCTCAGCCCTAGGGCGACTCGCAGCGGTGTACAACATATAAAAACACAGTTTACAATAAAGCAATAGCACAGCGAAATATCAACAACTATCTACACTGCAGGTGGATATAGATTCAATCATAGAAACCATGGCTGTCCTGAGTCTGCAAGACTTGCCATCAGGGTGACTTTGACATATGGCAATCCCATGAATGAGAGACCTCCAAGTCACCCTATCCTTAATGGTCGTTGAGGATAGGGTGACTTAGACTTAGAATCATAAAATCATAGAATCAAAGAGTTGGAAGAGACCTCATGGGCCATCCAGTCCAACCCCATTCTGCCAAGAAGCAGGAATATTGCATTCAAATCACCCCTGACAGATGGCCATCCAGCCTCTGTTTAAAAGCTTCCAAAGAAGGAGCCTCCACCACACTCCCTCCGGGGCAGAGAGTTCCACTGCTGAACGGCTCTTGCAGTCAGGAAGTTCTTCCTCATGTTCAGATGGAATCTCCTTTCTTGTAGTTTGAAGCCATTGTTCCGCGCCCTATTTATTTATTTATTTATTTACTTTACTTTACTTGTATACCGCAGTTTCTCAGCCCAACAGGCGACTCAACGCGGTTTACAACAAGGATAAAAAACAATCAACGATATACAATTTAAAACCATAAAAGCATAATATACAATATTGAACAACCATAGACAACACAATACATCTCATAACTGGAGTCGTGATCCAATCCGTCGTCCAAATTTCCATTCCTGTAATCATCACATTCATTGCACTGTTTAACCGAATGCCCGTTCAAACATCCAAGTTTTTAATCTTCTTCGGAACACCATTAGCGAGGGGGCTGATCTTACCTCCATAGGAAGGGCGTTCCACAGCCGGGGGGCCACCACAGAAAAGGCCCTGTCTCTCGTCCCCGCCAGCCGCACCTGTGAAGCAGGCGGGATAGAGAGCAGGGCCTCCCCAGATGATCTTAGTGTCCTAGTCGGTTCATAGGAGGAGATGCGTTCGGAGAGGTAAGTAGGGCCAGAACCGTGTAGAGCCCTA